CGATATACGAATTTAAAAATTGTGGATAAAAAACATGGTTTTCAGTTCCAAATATTTTTTTTAGGCCAAAATTCGCCTCCACAGCCCCCTGCAGACACTGACGACCTCCGACAAAGAATAGTACGCAGAATCATATCGAAGGGCCAGCCATCCCAGGAGAGGTCAGTTTCACACAAACCCCTTCCCAGTGAAAGAAACAGGATTTATAAGAGGTTAAATCAAGACACTGTTTTAGGTAAACAGTAATTTATACAACATTTATTTTGAATTAATCGGCATTTTATATTTCAGGCGACGATCCGCTCAGGAAGAAACCAAAAATAGTCCATTGCAACAACGAGGGACTCTTCCAAGTAACAGTGAACAAGCCCCAAGCCAGTAGTGACTTACGGGGCGCTGGAACATCCCAGAATCAGAAGGACCGTCAACCAAGAGGTGCAAGACATAAAGATAAAAACCTTGGAGGAAATACGGGCAGAGCGAAAGCGCACTCAAGGGTCGTGGCAACCGCAGAAGAGGAAGCGGAAGTTTCGAGCACGAGCCCCGACGAAAATTTCCATATCAACGCAAATAAAGACATGATGGAGCTCGGAGGAGAACATACGATTACCAGAAGGAAAATAAAGCTGAGACGAAAATTACCTATTTACGAGGAGAACGTGTCAAGTGATAAAGACGAAGATGTAATTATGCTGAATGAGGACGACAGGCTGAGCATTACAGATGACGTGAAAACAACCGCGGCGAACGAGGAGGCTAAAACCGTGGATGAAAGAACGTCGAAGCCAGCACAAACGGTTGATAATACGGGTAGGACTTACAAAACCGAAGACGATGTCCTCTTTTCGGAAGACGACGACGACATTACGAAAACGTGAGCCTGAGAGCCGAGGATGAACTCCTGGAGGAAATTGATTCGCTGTTGGAGGATGAATTGTAGCTGTATTTAGTTATTGTATATTTTTTAAGTTGTAACTTGTAAAACGGTATATTACATTAGTTTTATTTTGCATTATAATTTATTTACCACTTTCCTCGCATTATTATAGTGACATTTAAATGAACTCTATATAGTTTATTGTAAGAATCAGGAGAAAAAATCAAACTAAATTTCCAACAATGATCCATATATGTACCACAAAACATCTAAATATAAGAAGGAAAAAGGGCAATCTCCATAGATAAGGAGGGAAACACACATCGGGGCCGCCATATGCACCAGTGGCCAGTTTTTCATAATGCATGTGTGACGCTTCAAATCGAAATGCGTAGCCGTGCATTGGTATCGCCAACTACATTTTACAATTCAATTTTTCATACAGCAAACTCGTTGTTTCTGCATAAAAATTGATTTGTAACCATACCCCACTTTTATGATTTTATCATAGAAGATGGAATAAATGAAAACAATTTTCTTGAAATTATTTATTTCTACAATTATAAACATTTAAAACAATACAGTATCAAAACATATTGACATAATAAACAAGAATTATTTGAAAACAAAAAAAGTCAAAGGAGATTAAAATAAGAAAAATTTCACATCGAGATTAGGTTGTATTTAACTTGGACATACCTGCTGGACATCGTGAACATACTTCCTACTGATGAAGTAGAACGCTTGTTGTTGCATGGCTCTATACAATGAAGAACACTAAAAACATAATATTTCATTAGGTACAATTTTAAGGTTCAAACGCTAAGAAACTTCTATTTTTTAACATGTTATGCTCATTTACAAGACCATTTCATATTAACAGTAAACTAGAAGGAACATTGCTAAACCTAACAATTAATTAAATTACACGTACCTTTTCATTCTTTTCATGTACATCTTATTATGTTCTTGTAATACTAATCATTTACATATGAGTTAGATATGTAATTTAGCACAGTATTTACTTACCAATAAGTAGAATAATTTGTATAAATGCCAATCAGAAAAGAAATACATATTAGCCTTTTCTGACAGTCAGCGGCTTAACACTCCCTGAATCGTTTGTATGAGCTTCGCAAAGATCTAGAAAACGCAATATGTATGTTCTATGGCATAGATAACTTTCATGTATCATGGATTCATAATTCCCTGCCATAGTCTGTGCTTAAAGACACTTAAAGGACAAAGGTTCGTTTTCTTTTCCATAACTTTTGTTTAAAAACAAGCAATATTTTCTTGTTAAACTTCTGTTTAACAGTAGGTTAAAATTCAGTTGATCACAGCACAGATAAAACGATAGAGAGAATCATCATAGAATTATTGTCAGTCAGATCTCGAATAATATTTTAGGCTTAGTAAATTGGTCAGCCGCTGATGGCGGCACTTCACTTGGCGTAGCGTATTCGTATATTTGTTGTATTTGCCCAAAAACAGCGATGTGTAGAGAAGCTATTCGCTATATTTGCTTTATTTGTACAAATAACGCGAATAGCGCTAACAGAAAATATGCGTTTCCGTCCACTTGTCGGTTTTCAATCACACATCAAAGAAGTCAAATAAGGCGAATATTTGCGGTAACTGTCCACACTTAGTTCCACCAGCGCCGTGTTCATCATGGTCTTTTAGTAACATTGTACTTATGTAGATTTAGCATGTATTGGTAATAAAAAACATTCAAATAATAAGCTGATGTAGCTGTCAACACGTCCGTCACTGTATTCACTGGTTCTAAATATTCAAACATATTTGGCATATTTGAGTATTTTGATGTATGTGTGGATGGCATGTTTGGAATATTTGCGAATACATCAAATATTTGGACAAATACAGCGATACTCAAACACAAATACGCTACGCCAAGTGAAGTGCCACCATGAGACAAAAAAGTGTCAGCCACGTCCATTCAGGGAAGTAGCTAAGTTAGCTACTCAGCCGCTGAGCGTCCCTGAATGCGCCCATTTTCTGATATCCTTGACATGAATTTGGTGATACTTCTGTTATTATTCATTAGATGGCACAGCAACAATAAATGCATACATTGTTTGTTTGTTTGTCCTGGCAATCAGCCAATGATTATCAAGCAGAATAAAAGAATGTTTTAAGTAGTGATGTAAATAATCGGATAAATTTTGATATTCGGATGATACGGATACGGATTAAAATAATATTCGTATTAATAACCCGAATCTGTATTAATTTGAGCAGACAGGCTAAGACCTATGAAGGAATGTGAACGCTTAATACGGAAACGGCCGACGACTGACGACTGAGCGCCCGGATACGTATCAATTTCGTATACGTATTATGTAATTTCGAATACGTATTATTTCTTTACGTCCGAATCCGAATCAAGTGGTGGTTTCGAATCCGGTCGACAACCGCCGACGACTGACGACTGAACGCTGAATGCGTCTTAATCTCGTATACGTATTAATTTCGAATACGTATTATTTCTTCAGTTCATGTCGATTTAGTCGAATCCGAATCAAGTGGTGGTTTAGAATCAAACGACAATAACAGGTATTCCTACGACCACCTGTTCCGTTTGTCGTATGAATACGAATTGAAATTAAAAATAGTATAACCGTATTTGTATTACGTTTTCAACCATCAAGCATCGACAGTCAACACTCAACAATGACATCTGACAAAATTAATCCGTATCTGTATTAAAACAAAATAATAGGATTAAGGCCTGATTTATAGATTACCGCCCGCCCGGCCGCCCGTATTCCGTATCCAATCCCGCTACCTTTGCAAATTCCAACAATTTATAGATTTCCGTAACGTGATATTTACACATGCGCATTAATAAAATAATTGTCTGGTAATTAATAATATATCTGTCAGTTATCGCATAGAAAATTTATTATAATACATTTTTTCTCATTATGAACTGCTGTGAACACATGTTTTTTTAGTTGTGAATATATAATTACTTATTTTATTTACTACATCGGAGCAAGGACAATGTGGATAATCTGCGCATGAACAGAATGAATGGAATTCCATTTTTTCTGGAATGAAGTTTCTACGGGCGGACGGAATATGCTACCGGTGTACGGTAATTTATAAATGCCTTATGGAATGTGCTAAGGTTGAACTTTCTACGGACAGTCGGGCGTACGGACGGGCGGGCGGGCGGTAATCTATAAATTAGGCCTTATACGTATTAATTTGATATTCGGTTTCAACGGTTATTTTAATACGTATTCTCACATCACTAGTTTTAAGCAGAAGGCAAATAAACGCCAGTTATCAACAACGTCATCCACCGTTACATCAATATCTATTGACACTGTTTAATATAATAAACATTTAACTTAAGTAAATCTGAAGATGATCGAAATCACATTAACCGCATAATTAAAGTCTTCACGGCTCTCCACTGCTATTAAGAGTACACCGAACCCCTCTTCTGTCGCCAAATCCGTGCATCATTACCTCGCTTAAGTCCGCGAAATTTTCCTCTCTTAAGTCGCGATCATAACCTCAACTTTTTTGTGTTTTAACTGCAAAAAGAAATATTTAGAGATATACCACAGTACTTGTTATAACGAAAATGAGCCAACTGAACGAAAAATTAATGTATGTATACCCAGTCGTGCGTGACAAAGTTCAATTTTCCAATTTGAATGAATATTTTATAGATTAAATATTTTTAAAAGACACCTAACCTATTTTAAATCAATAAATGTATTACACAATCATTTTTTTCAATAAAAATTGTACATATTCATGCGAGAATCCAATTTCCAAACGTAGTTCTAAAACCTTACAGGCGGCGACTTAACCGGGACGGTTTCGCGACCTTAATAGGGGAAACATGGTGGAAATAAGAGAGGATGAATTAAGCGAAGGTGAAATAAGAGGGGGTTCGAGTGTATATATAAGATTTTGCGATTATTTCAATAATCGGATTGTGAATTATTTTTAATTAAAATAATAAATCACATCACAGAAAATGACATTCTCCCTCTAATAGTCATTACGACTGTGCAGAGGGAGAATACACATGGAAAAGACGTAGGACACACAACCAAACCCTGTGACAGGTGCCAATTGCCACAGGCGGGATTCGAACCCGCGCAGATAATAGCTCTCGGAGTAATCGCCATCTGGCGCTTTACCCACAGAGCTATCGCCGCGGTGAGCTAAATTATTCCATCATTATTTATAATCTTGTTTGATTTATGTTTATGTATGATCTACTTATCAAGATCAAGTAACAGTAGATTTAAAATACATTTAATCAGTAAAAAAATGAATACAACTATGTATATAATATAATAAATATATATAATATAATAAAATATATATAATATAATATAATAAATGATGATAGACGCGCAAATGAGTATGTAGATACCTACATATTCTATTTTAATCTATGGTTCAGAAACTCATAGACAACTAATAGCAGAGAAGTGAAACATTTGTTTACATTCAAGTTACAACTTATTTTTAAATATAAACAACATCGCTGAAAACATGTTTCTACATTATGTTTGTTTTTGCAAAACAATGTATCTCATCAACGAACTATTAATTTTTTATTTGAATCTTTTAATTAATTTTTCCATACAATTAATTTGGCTTTAAATATTCAAAATTTTGCATTGGAAACATGGAGAGCACTTTTGTAAAATTAAGGCAAGAACTGAATGATTTAGGATACATTGAGACGTTAAAACCAGACTGTGTTCCTTTGGTTGATAGATTATTTTCAGATTTGAAAACAACCACACAAAATCTTCAAAAATACATGAAGATATCACAGCAAGCTATAGAAGTAAGTAAATAAACAAGCAGTTTGATTCTTTTGTTGTAATTTTTTGTAGAAGGCTGAGATTTAAAATTACGAAGTGCACAGCTTACTAGATGTAACCCATAAAAATATCTGACGCTGACATTTGATTTTTGAAGGAACAGGACAGTTTGCGATTGGGAGCAGAACCTTATAAGTGTGACAATGCAAAATTAATCAGGGAATGTAATGAGCTGCACTTGGCTTTTATACAATTCAAGGAGCAGCATGAAAAGGTGCAGAAAGGTAAGACAAACGCCTATTTTTGTTCTTTATGTTCATTGTTACTTTTGCAGATCTAAAAGTTAAGATAGTCTCGTTAGAAAATCAGTTACAAAATTGTGAATCGGAAAAACAAAACCTTAAAAAACGAATCAAAGATCTAGACTCAGGTCAGCCCGACAAAAAAGGTAATGTACATATCATTTTTTTAAAATGGTAGATTATGTTTTCCATTTTTAAATTTTAGCAGGTGTAAAAGCAAAAGGCCCAATCCCAAGGACTGTAGATAAGGGAAAGACTTTTCGGCTGGACAGTGCTATGGGCGTGTGCAGAAGAAAAGATAGCTCGTCTTTCAAATGAAATAAGAAAACTCAAAGATGATCACCTACAGCTTGTAGAGAGCAATGAATTTTAAAACACAGGTGAGTAACATGTTTTACCAAGTCTTCAAAATTCAGGTATTGGATTTATTTTTTTATTCAGTTACAAAATCGAAATGAGGAAATTGTAAGGTTAAAAAGTTTGCTGGAAGGTGGTAGACCAACCGGAGAAGCTATTAACAGAGATTGCTGCTATAAAAATATAGACAATAAGATGGGATCGCTACAAGATGAAATAAGTATGTTAAAGAGGGAAAAAAATACATTGTAATAACCAACTAAAAGGCAAGTATATAAATTTACAACAGTATATGTAATGGAAAAAAGATACCTGTCTTTCAGAGGCGTTAGCGAAGCAGCATGGATGAAATGAGGAGAGCGTTACATCTTTCGAACGTAACAAACAACTAGAAAGGGAGATGAAAGATATCGACCAGATTGCTCTAGCTGTTGAGGCAGAGTGCAATAGCACAGTTAGAAATAATGTGGAAAAAGTCACCAGGTGGGTTTTTATTAGCTTGTATTGTTCATAAGTTTCACCTCTTCTTTGCCGCTTGCATTACACCTTCTGTTAAATCAGAACCCAATAATTTTCTATTTTTTCTTCGTTTTGGAATAGAATGCAAGACAGAATCAACGAGCATCGGGTGATCATCATTCAAAATTTGGCAGAGAGAAACATGGACAGCAAGGTAAAATTAAGACAAGAACTAGAATGATTTAGGATACATTCAAGTTGGAAAAAGCAACTGTGTTCAAACCCTTTGGTTGATAGATTATTTTCGGATTTGAAAACAACCACACAAAGGCTTCAAATAGAATGAAGACTTCACAGTAAGCTATAGGTAATTAAATAAACAAGCAGTTTGATTATTTTGTTTAATTTTTTCTATAGGCTTAGAAATATTTTCTGAATTTTCAATTAGATGTAACCCAAAAAATATGTAGTTACTTTTGATTTTAGAGACATGATCTGGGAGCAGAACCTTATAAGTGTGACAATGCAAAATTAATCAGGGAATGTAATGAGCTGCACTTAGCTTAGCTGCAATTCCAGGGACAGCATGAAAAGTGCAGTAAGGTAAGCAAACACCTATTTTTTGTTCTTTATGTTCATTGTTATTTTTTGCAGATCTAAAAATTTAATAGTCTCGTTAGAAAATCAGTTACAAAATTGTAATGGAAAAACAAAACCTTAAAAAACGATTCAAAGATCTAGACTCAGGTCAGCCGACAAAAAAGGAATGTTATCATTTTTTAAAATGGTAGATTATGTTTTCCATTTTTGAATTCCAAGCAGGGAAGACAAAACGGCCCAATCCCAAGGACTGTAGATAAGGGAAAGACATTTGGCTGGACAGTGCTCTGGCGTGTGCAGAAGCAAGGATAGCTGTCTTTTCAAATGAAATAAGAAAACTCGAAGATGATCACCTACAGCTTGGGAGAGCAATGGGTCGTTTTTACGAACCCAAGTGAGGAGCATGTTTTACAAGGCTCAAATTCAGGTATTGGATTTATTTTTCTGAGTCAGTAGCAAAATCGAGAAATGGACTACAGGCAGTCACAGGTAAAAACAGTTTGCTGGAAGGTGGTCTTAGACCCACCAAATTTTAACAGAGATTGCTGCTATAAAAATATAGACAATAAGATGGATCACTACAAGATGAAATAAGTATGTTAAAGAGGAAAAAAATACATTGCATAACCAACTAAAAGGCAAGTATATAAATTTACAACAGTATATGTAATGGGAAAAAGATACCTGTCTTTCAGACAGCGTTAACGAAGCAGCATGAGGCAATGAGGGGAGCGTTACATCTTGCGAGAGCGTAACAAACAACTAGAAAGGGAGATGAAAGATATCGACCCAGATTGCTCTAGTGACTTGAGGCAGAGTGCAATAGCACAGTTAGAAATAATGTGGAAAAAGTCACCAGGTGGGTTTTTATTAGCTTTAGATTATTGTTCATAAGTTTCACCTCTTCTTTGCCGCTTGCATTACACCTTCTGTTAAATCAGAACCCAATAATTTTCCTATTTTCTTCGTTTGGAATAGAATGCAAGACAGAATCAGAGAATGGGTGATCATCATTCAAAATTTGGAGAGAGAAAACAGCAAGGTAAAACAAGACAAATTAGAGTTGTGCTCGAATTAAGACGCAATCAAGTTGGAAAAGGAAACATCTACAAACCCTCTTGGAAACGGAGGGGGTCGGCAGACAAGAAAAGGCTGACGGATAGAATAAACAGCTTCACAGTAATTGGTACTTTTAAAACGTTCAGTATCTTATAATCTCTTTCTTATACTTGAAATATTTTCTGAATTTTCAATTGGCTGTAAAAAAATATATGTATTACTTTTATTTTAGAGCATGACCTCAACATGGAAATAGACAGACTGGTGAGACTCACAGGGGAGCAAAGAAAAAAATTGCCGAGCTGGAATGCCAGGTGACTGAAGGAAAATTGAAGTATTCTACGTTGAAGCCCCAAGACCGTTAGTAATGGTAATTCTTATGTGATTAATTGAAGTTACTTATTTTTTAATGTTTCGTAATGCCTGCAAACCATTTTTGGTTACTCCCTGTATATCACATTTATACTTTCAGCCAGTCGACCAGCCGGACTATCAGTACCAAGTTGACGACTTCGTTCAAACGGAGGACCGTCCAAAATCACCTTTGAAGTCCAAGAAGGGAGACAAAACCGCCAAGTCCAAGTCAGCCCCAGCTAAGAAGGGAACACAAAAAGGCACTCGGAAGCAGTCGACTTCTAGTAAAGCCGGGGTAGATGTGAGGTTTCGGAGAAATGGGGATAATTCGCCACCATTAGTTGGGAATTCGGGTCGTTCTGGATCCCAAGCCGTGAGGAGGTGCTGTTGCGAAGCGGGAAGTTGCGTGAAGCATCTGAGAGCTGCTAGATCGAGAAATGGACTACAGGCAGTCACAGGTAAAGACAGTTACTTTTAAATATTCTCAGTATTCTCTATATTTTAAGCATTTTCATTTCGTTTGCATTATTCGTGGCTCTCTCTCCTTTCTTACTGTATATTGTATTTTCTTTTTTACATATCTTGTATATTCCTTTTTTTATTCCAATATATTTTTATGAAACTGTATTTTTTATGACAGAACGAGGGAAATTAAAATTGCATTCAAATAAACTACCACAACTTAAGTGTCAAGTTAGAAGATGGGATCTTTGTTTCTTTCTTTCTTGTGACTTGAGATGGTGGCATTATCCGAAAAGTTCAAATATAATTTTCGTAAAGGCCTGTAAAAGTTTTGAATACATTTAGTTGGTCTTCCCGAAAATAGGTGGCGCAATGGTCACGAATTTTCATACGTCATTCCTCTTTCAAATTTATTTTTCATTGGTAGAGACGCGATTAGGACGAGTCGAAACAGAGTTGGTTTCCAGGTCACTATGATTACTAGGGTCCGGAAAGTGTGACACAACGTAGAGTTAACTGCGTTCAACTATTCAGAGGTCCCAGGCCTGAGGCCGGCTTGCAATGGCGCACACACAAGTCACGGCAAGTTGCCAGGCACAGTCGGTGGCGCACGTATACGCGGGCAAGAATACATGCGTATATAATTTACAAGGCGTCTAAAAAATACGGTTTATAGTTTAATTATCAGAGTTGTATAGTGCCGACCCTGTCTCGTGTCACACATAGATTGTGTGACACATTGGACCCTAATGATTATTACGCGATAGTTCAGAACAATTACGTAGC